ATATTCTTTTACAGTTTCTCTTTGAACTTACCAATTTGTGTGTGTTTTGTGCCTTCTTAGGTGGAGGGGGTTGGGTCCACTCTGTCTCTTTTTCAGCTTCTGGTAACCGTCTGGCCTGGGTCAGCCATGACAGTACTGTCACAGTGGTGGACAGCTCTAAGACTGCCAGGTATGTTTAGTTGTTACCTGTATTCTTCTAAAATACACATGGTTTACTCATTCTTTATATAAGAGGTCAGAATTAAAGCTGACTTCTTATATAAATATATGTATTTATATATAATTATATACACAATTATATATAATTGTGTCGCCTGATAGATGTTGGGTCTGAATGTCAGCACATCTTGTGAAATTAGAGTTGTCTCCGCACCTGATTGTGGGATTTGACAGATTCACTAACAGCGATTATGCAAAAAATGCAAATGTAAAAAAACAACAACAATCATCTCAAGCGAGTAAGTTACAGAAAATAATGCAGGGGGTAAAAACACAATTTGCACTTTGAATTCTTAACATTGACCACAAAAGGGCAAATGTTGTGGCCTTTAAAGCAAACTGAGTAATGCCATAAAGAGATTACCCTTGTTGCATAATCATAAAGCAGTTAGTGAAGTGAATCCAACCCAATCTCATCTGAAACTAAACCCTTTTCATTCATTTAAAATTATCCCACACTCATCGTGTTGCCAAAGGTACCCATCCCATATTTTTCTTTAATATATATGATTTTTTTTCTTTAGCTACAATTAATTTTGGGGTGTTTAAGCTATAGTATTCAGTAGCTTGTGCCTGTGTTCTCTTCATCTTTTTAAGTGCAATCGAATCAGCCACTCGGACCATATTAATTTATTTTGTTTGTGTTTAGTCCTTCACAGCTGAAGACGGAGTTCCTTCCTCTGCTCAGTGTCATTTTTATTTCAGAGAACAGTCTAGTAGCTGCGGTAAGAATCAAGCATATGGTGGCTGCATGTTCCTTTGCACAGATTTATAGTGATCCAGGAGCGCTGTAGTAACTCTGTCTCCCTCTTCAGGGTCACGACTGTTGCCCAATGCTGTTCCGTTGCGACGACGGTGGAGCGCTGACGTTTGTGACAAAGCTCGACCTCCCCAAGCAGAGCATCCAGAGGAACATCTCTGCCATGGAGCGCTTCAGGAACATGGACAAGAGAGCCACCACTGAGGACCGCAACACTGCCCTGGACACACTGCACCAGAACAGCATCACGTAGGTCACCCAGAAAACTAATGCACGCATGGGTAATGCAAACATTTTAATGGTAATTTTGGAGACTATATCCTATGGTGCAGTTGAATTATATTATGAATCATATTAATTTTAACCAACACCACATCTCCAAACTTTAGCCTGTACAAAGATGGGTTTTAATGTTGGGCTTTAGTATTTTAGTTCATCAATACTAGCTTGCTGGTAAATGAGCACTTAAAGTGTTGAATCAATGCTGTTAGGCATCACATGTTTGAGAGAACAGATGATTTTAGGAGCTTTCCATTGTTCTGCATCCACTTCTGTTATTATTATTTCTATTCTTCATACATAAAAACAGGTTTTACAACAACCTTACATACTCTCTTTGAAAAGTATATAGTCTGTGGTAATGTGCACGCTTCATGTGGTTCTAGTGAGCAATCAGACGTTGTGCAGAAAAAATTTGGATGAGCAGTAGACACATGACTCATCACTCAAAGTAAAATGCAGAGCCATAAGCAGCTGATTTGAAAAATGGTGTAAAACAACCAGGAAAAAAATGATTAAAAACACCTACTGAATCCATTCATGATGGTGCGGTGGTGTTTTCCAACTTATGTGTGATATTTCAGCCACACCCACAGACTTCCTGAAGTTTTTTGTCACCACTACCATTTAACTAGCAGCAGATAAGCATTTTAGCAAATTTCCCACCAAGATCACAACGAAAACAAGAAAGGCTTGTCAACATCATCACCTGTGTGTGTTTGTTTCTTAGCCAAGTGTCTATCTATGAGGGAGACAAAAGGGATTGTCGCAAGTT